AAATCTCTATTTTCAAACGGGATGGAAATTTTCAGTGTGAGGTGGTAAGGATCAAATGAGTTAATGTACATTTTAAGTTATTAAAACAGAGGAACAGAACCAGGCAGAGTCAGGGTTCAGCCAATGTCTTGTTGTTACTATCAAATTGACCATTCTCCAGTTCCTCCTTCACTCATATCACACACTTTTTTGTTACCTTCTATATGTGTGTGCTGGGTATTTGGAGAAAAAAGTGTTATTTAAGTGAAAGGAAATAGGCTTTTGGAGTTAGTTGATGAACAAGAAAAGTACAAGAATAACTGGTGCATGTATATGAACCATAATAAGAGCCTGGCCTAATCAGGGGTCCAAGCCAACAGCAACAAAGATAAAAAGGATACCACAATACAAAAGTCTCACTCGAGTTCTTGAAGATGCACAGCACCACTGTTAAATAAATGTTGTGATTCTTTCTCACCTTTAAGCCTCCTCAGAGGTCCCTAAGGCATACCTCACCCCATCCTACCTCTATCTCTGTTTCAACACCCCTAGCACTGTCCTACACCCACTGTTTCACACACCTGTTTAACACACCCCTGCAATCTCCACTCTCAAAGGCAGAGACCTGTATTCTTCATCTTCATAATCCAAAGGGCCAAGTACAATGTCTGGGACATATTTGAGGGATGAATAGATCAGATTTAGTCATGTCATTTAAAAAAGTGGAATTGTTAGTTCCCTCGTTAAGTACTAGAACCCTTACACATGCATTTGGGAGATGCTCACAAACCACTCCTGGCTTTGTGCCTGCAATCCACTTCAAGGTCACTTCCTAGCTGGCAGAATTTCATATCTTCTTCCTGTTCTTGGAAAATTCAATTATGTTTGTGCATTTCTAACCTCCTGCAGTGGGTATGGTAAACAGACCAAACCACAGTGTGGCCTTCAGAATCAGACAGATCAAGCCTCCCTTTCTTCATTTGCACAATCAGCATCACTACTGCCTCTCAGGACTCCTGAGGATCAATAGCAATGAACTTGGAAGTGCTTCACACTCCACTGTGTGGCAGTTTTCATTTTCAATGAAAATGAAAGGATCACTTGTTGTGACTTCATGGTATCCTTTGTGAACTCTCCTGGAGTTTGAACCAGGAGATGTGAAAAACATATAGGACTGCCAGATATTTTGATGAGATATCGTGACTTAAAAACGTAAAGGGAAAGAACTAAGTGTCTTGTCTTCTTTATATGAACCGTACCACTGATCCACTAAGTAATTGGGATGAAAATTTCCCTTTTAAGAATACCTCAGCTAGTTGAGGAAGGAATGGCAGAATATCACCGGCTTGCAAACTCTAATGAATTGATCGATCTAGTTAATGATTGGCAACAGCTGCAAACACCACACAGAGAAATACCATCAGATAATTATGGGCCTTCTGATGGAAGAACGCAGCACCCCTGGGAAATTGTGCTACCAGAAAACAAAAATGGAATTCAAACTGACCAACCCTCAGGACAATTACATATATATAAGAATGGGTTAGGATGAGATTCAGCAAAAATCTGTACTGTAGGGAAGTGCAAGACAATGAAAGCTCAGCCACAAAGGAAAAAGAAAACTTTAGGTGAAAAAATACCATAAGTATTTTTAATGCTTATGAACAGTCAGTCAAAAATATATGAACCTCATTTTGGATCCTGACACCTTTTGCTTTTTGTGGTACTGGGAATTGAACTCAGGGCCCTGTACTTGCTAGGAAAGCACTCTACCACTTGAACCATGCCCTAGTCCTTTTTTCTTTTTTTTTGCTCTTTTAGTATTTTTCTCTTAGATAGGATCGCACTATAACTTTTGTCTAGGCTGACCTTACACTGTGATCCTCCTATCTCTGCCCTCTGAGTAGCTGGGATTACAGGGGCATGCAAGCACACCCAACCTTCCTTTTACATTTTTTAAGGACAGTCATGAGATTTCTGAATCAATTATGAATTGATTCAGAAAGTCAATTATGAATTATCTTAAACTTATATTTCCCCTTAATGATATACATTTTTCCCTGTCCAACCCCCCAAAACATAGATTTAAAAGACAAACGATGTGATGGATTTTCCCTAAATCTTGAGGAGCTGACTTAAGAGTGTAGATAACCCACTAACTATATGCTTAAACATTTCAAAGTTATCTTACATTATCTTACATTACATCAAACATTATCTTAGCTGTGATCATCCCTTTCTAAAAAAACAAAAATGAAGACCAGGGCATATATGCAGATGGTTTATGTGGGTTAACTCCAGTGAAGAAGACTAGAGGTTTTGAAAGAGGACAAAAGGGAAGAAAGGAAAGCCAGCCCAAACTGCACACCGCTTTGGGAAACCACGGGTTCTCTAAGGAGCCCTATAGAATGTACCTCAGCTCTACCTTTCTGTTTCAATTAGTTAAGGGCTGCCCAGGGGGCACTAAGGCTCTAGCACTTCTGAGTTTACACATATATCAGAAAGGCTGATATGTCCCTTTCTCTTCCTTTTCCTGGGTCTACCCCATGTCACAAGAGATGTTGCACACATGCATGTGTACACTCTGCCTATACCTTCAAGCTCCATTCAGCCCTCCTTCATGAATAGCTGCTCCCTGGCTAGCTTTAGACCTAGGGTAATGTGCACCTGGGGCCCTCCCTAGAAGACAGACCTGAAAGGAGGGGCAGCTGGGTATAGAACAACTTACAGCTTCTTAGTCAGAGAATTTGTTTGTCCTGGGCAGCCAGAGCATAGTCTAGATCAGCGTTCTGGGTGGGCATGTCTCTTTGACCCTGGGGGTGGATGGAAGAAGGCCAGAGTGTGGCCCAGAGCAGGGTCATCCCCTGCCCAGCCCTAGAGGCAGTGCAGATTGTTTGCTGCCATTCACTTCACACTTCAAGGTTTTGCAATCAGCCAGATCTTTAGTGACTCCTGGGCCACCTTCAGGAAATTGCTCACCACTCAAGTTCTTCATCTGCAAAGTGGGAAGGGGATGTGAGAAAGTGGGGTGCAGCATCCACCCAGGGCCCTCACAGGAGTCAGGCTTAGGAAGGGACAGAAGTGCTGTTTCCAGGCTTGTGCCCAGCATGGAGGTTGCAGCAGAGGCGGATGAAAGCAGAAGCAAAAGCTGGAGGTAATATCTTTCATTTGGTACGGTTTGCCTGGAAATGTACAAAGAAGAGTAATCTGACAGTTCTTCCACAGAATTCCAAACGTCTTTAAAACTTGCTCTGGACCCCTGTGAACTGTAAGTTCCTCGGACTGAGGACAGAGCTTCACATTTTACCCCAGGCCCTAACATACTGCCTAGTGTAGTGAGTGCTCAATAAAAAGTGTTGCCTAGACAACTTCAAATTGAGTTAATTGCTTTTAATGAGACTCATTCCACAGGTTGGCTCTTAAGTTTCCACAGGCATCTCAAACTGGACTCATTTTCTTCCTCAAACCTGTCCCTCCTCCAGTACCCTGCCTCAGTGGGAAGGCTGCACCACCTCACCTCCAAGCCAGCTGTCAGGGCATTCTCCTCAGCACCTCCCTCTTTCCTACCTCTTATGGTCAATTAACACCAAGTTCTGGCAATCCTACCCATCTGCTAGTTTTATGTGCTCAATTCACTACCTAGTTCAGGTGACTGTGGTCCAGTTAAGGCTACTATTCTCTTTCCCCCTGAGATTCTGAAGCAGCCTTTCAGCTGCTAATCTCACATGCACTCAGGTCCCCTGAACACACCCTCCCTCGTGCAGCCAGAGTGGCCTTTGCTCATCTGGTCACATTCCCACTGAGTTTCAGAGTAGAGCCCAAGCCTCTGGGCACAATCTGCAGAGCCCTGTTGTCTGACCACAACACTGTCAGATCCTTGAAAACAGGTTTTGTCTTATCTCTCTTTAGAAATTATAAAAATTTCAATCATAATATCAAACTATCAAACACAAAAGTTGAGTTAGGACCCAGCTGAGCCAATGGCTGACCTTGAGCAACTCCACTGACCTTGCAGGGTGGGGCCACACTCCTGGGACTGCTTCCGTGTAGTTTCAAGGGCTCCTTGCTCTGACCTTCCTTTGGATATAGAATTAAACTAGTTCCGGAATGAGTCACTGGACTATTTCTAGAAATTGCCATCTTTCTCGGGAGTGGTGTCTACTGATATTTGACACACTTCAGCCATGAGGCTGCACAAGAGAGGCTGAGCTAGTCTACTTTAGTGAACCCATTCTCGGGAATTATCTTTCAGTTGGAAGAATTATCCAGAAATTATGGAACTGGCAATCACACCAAACATACCCTCTCAATCATAGGGACAACTTCCAATGTTGCTCAGAGTCAGATTTGTGGCAAAAGGAACATGCAACATTGATAGCTTTTATCTGTTGGTTTGGTTCGATAAGCTACTTAACATCTCTGAGTCTCCATTTGGTCATCTATAAACAGGGATAAAGCTTGCAAATACCAGTGAGGTTATTGTGAAGATTCAATGAGATGAAGTGTGTATTTTGTTTCACATCCCCTTTGTAAAGATTTTATGAATGTCAAGTATTGTTATTAATTTTTTCACACTTTGTTTTAAAACAGGATTCAGGAGAGCTACTAAAATATGTGCCAAATTATAAGATGAAAATAAGGAATAGAGAAAACCAGTGTCAAAAGAGACATTGCATTACCCCCAAAGAATCATAAGAGTTTGGGTTCTCATACAGGAGATAGCCAGGGGGCCATTTATTAATTCATCAGCACTGAACTCTGAATGGCTCTTTGGCATGGTGGCATATGCAAAAGAGCAAGCTTTGTTTGTGCCTCAGGCTGGAAAGAAGAGCCCAGACACAGTTTGGCAGGGAGTATGGAGGTAGGTGGAGTAGGCGTATGTGTCAGCATGCACATTCCATATGGAATAACCCTTGTCTACAATGAGCTAGCTATGCAGTTGCATCCCTGACCTGATGATGCATCTGTTTCACGTTCACTTGTTAGCAGTCACCTTGGGCCTGAGTGTGACAAGCAAGAAGATGGCCAAGGTCAACACCCAATACTCCCAGCCCTCCCAGAACCACCTCACAGTAAAGACCATGGACAGAGACCTCGATCATATTGAGAATGGCCTTGGCAGGTAAGATGGGCTTTTTGTTTTCTTCTGATCACAGGTTATTTCCATAGCTGATCTAGAGTGTGGAGGAAGAATGCCTTAGTGTTGGCCACCACAGGTCGGATGGGGTGGAAGGTGGGAATTCACAGGGCTTCCAACTTCGTTTTTTTATTTTGCTAATTGTCACAACCTCATTTTCCATTTTATTCTAAAGTAAGAATAAAAGAAAAATGAGACTCAAAATATTACATTACTTTGAGAAGATAACAAAATAAAGATTCAAATGGCAGCAGATGAAATTGTGCTATAAAAATGCCACACCACCAGCCACTCCCCTGAGCTACTGAGGATGTACAGAAGTCAGCTGCTCTGCACAAGATCAGGATGCAGGCTAGCTAATGGGTCTGTATGGGAAGTGGATGGTCTCTTGCCATCAAGCCCATCAATGATAACCTGACACAGACAGCCATATGGAAACAGGGGTCTTGCGTTCTACTTCTTACCTTTTTCCTAACTTCTCCCTGCTAGGAAACTTAGGTGAATATTAACTGATAGTCCAAAATCACAGTAACAGTCCCTCAGTCTCCACATCCTTCCTCCATCACTTCTTCTCACTCACTTGTGTGCATCACTTCCTCTCTCAGATACACATATGTTCTTTTTCTCTAAGCTCTTTGTCCCAGTTCCTCAGCACACTCTGCTAATCAGTGATAGTCAACAGTTTCCAGAGATTGAATCTCCATTATTGCAGCCCTTGAAGCCCACCTTCTGAGATTCAAGCAAAGGAAGGAAAATCCCAGAGCATCGCAACAGATATTTATTTCCCGCAATCATTCAGTGCTAGGGCCCCAAGACATTTGCTGTAAATTCAAAGGTCTCAGAAAAATCCCATCCTACCCAAATATCTCCCTCTAACTGGCTCTCTGTCAATGCCTGTGTGTCCACTGGGGACTAATATCTGTAGGTTAAGTCATTGACCCTTATTTAAAAGAAAAAAGAGCACTACTAGAACACTTATCCACTGTTAAATCTTTGTTATTTGTTAATAGTTTCTTGTTCCTGGGATTTTGGAACCCGTGTGAGAGAACAGAAGCTGACAAGATGAGAGGGATAGTAAAGCAAAATAGAACTTTTTCCCAGTGCCCTCTTTTGCCTAGATTGGGCATAATTCATGCTTCTCACAGAGCTTCCAGATTTCCTAGGATAGAGAAGGCAACAACAGGGTCTCAGTCTGCCTCCTTCCAGTGAGGTGCTCCATTGAGGAAGGCAGGCACAATGAGTGCACTGAAGTTTCCACCCAAAATGTCTGCTTCATCAGATACTACTGAGCTCCAGCTGACTTGTCTTGGCTATGTCTTGGCCAGTGGCCTACAACCCCAGCCTGACCTTTGTGTTCACAAGGTGTCTTGGAAGATGGCCCTTTGCAAAATGCATTGCCAACTCATTAAGCCACACTGACCCTTGCCATGGCCTCTGGATTCCAACATCCTTGCTGCAGACATTGGTCACATGCACTCTCAAGATGTTAGCCATATGGTCAGGGACTCTAAATTAATGCCCTTTGACAACGACATTTGCCATCTTTGTGTGTTAATTTCTTCCTGCTATGATTTAGCTCTTAAATATCACACAAAGTTCCATGCATTAAAGGTTTGGTCCTCAGGGTGGCATTACTGGGAGGTGGTAAAACCTGTAAGAGGTAGGCTTTATGGGAGATCCTTAGATCATTGAGACTCTGCTCCTTCCTCTCTTTGTTGCTTTCTGGATGTGAGATTAGCAGTCTTGCTCCACTATGTATTCCAGCCATGATGTGCTGCCTTGCTATAGGCCCAAAACAACAGGACCAGTGGACTAGAACCTTCAAAACAGACCTTTTCTCTTTATGAGTTTGAATCTTTTGGGATAAAGAATTGAGCCTTTGTGCACGGAAACATTAATCACTGTTTATCTTTAATGATATCAAGAAGCTTGTTGGAGGACTGGTGGTGTGGCTCAAGTGGTTGAGCACCTGCCTCCAAGCATGAGGCCCTGAGTTCAATCCCCAATAATACAAAAATCAAAAGAGCCAGGGGCTGGTTGCTCACATCTGCAATCCTAGCTACTCAGGAGGCAGAGATCAGGAGGATTGTGGTTCAAAGCCAACCCAGGCAAATAGTTCCATGAGACCCTATCTCAAAAAACCCTCCACAAAAATAGGGTTGGTGGAGTGGCTCAAGGTGAAGGTCCTGAACTCAAGCCCCAGTGCTGCAAAAAAAAAAAAAAAAAGAAAGAAAAAGAAAAGAAAAAAAATCAAAAGAGCCTGTTGGAACCCTGTGTTGGTATGACCCTTTGTTAAGTGCTCCTAGAAGGTGGGAGCTGCCATGTCTCTGTCCCCTAAGACATCGCTACCCTCCGGGTCTTTTACCAGAGTGGAGACCTAGTTTTCTGTTTCCCTTCTTTAAGTTATTGGAGTTATTTTTCTAGTGAAAGGTCTTAAGTAAGGATGGAAATGCTTCCTTTAAATATATATATATATATATATATATATATATACCCTGAAAATTCCAGAAATAAAACTGTTTTGAATTTTACTTTTCTGCTTAGTTCTGGTTGAGTCAATTATGTAGGAGTTGTCTGGCATGTTTTTGAGGATAATGCAATAGAGAAAGATTTAAGAATATGCCACAGAATTGCAGTGAGCACTGAGGGCACCCCAAATTCTGATCTACCTCCTGGTGTAGCTGTCTTGAATGAGCTTTGGGGCATTGGGGCTTGTGTCTGACAGAAAAGAGGCTCCCTCTCTTCTACTCCCTAATACTTCCAAAGTGAAGCCCAAAGCAATTATCACCAAAGAAAACCATTTTCAGTTTGCTTCTCTGGGACCAAAGACTTAAAAATGCATTGGCTTCAATTCCAGGTAATATGTGGCCAATGACAGTGGATTGCAATCATTCAAGGTCCTCAGGGCTTGAGAAAAAGAGAAGGAAAAGGTATAATATTCTCCAGCCTTGTGCTGAGAGATCACCTCTGCTTACTCTCATGTCCCTAACGTTACTGGAGGAAGACACCAGTTGCTCCACAGAGTGCAAAGTTAATTACCAGTTTCCAGTTCTCATGGGAACCTCTGTCCTCACCCAATGACAGAGGACAAAGGAAACCTGCCCTTTACTAACACTAACTCCTCTCTACAAATACACTTAGAGGCTGAGCACTACAAGTTGAAATTTTCTTCATTTTTCAAGGCAGTTTCTTCTTTATCTTGCACTAGTTGCTCTTGTTATCACTGCCAACTTCAGAGGAGGCATTATTACCACCTGAGATCAGAGCCTGCAAGTGGGAGAGAAGCTTTGGGTTTTCACAGCCTGGTTTGCTCATTTCACAGAGACTGAGGTCCTCACCCCAGGCTCCTCAGCCAGCTACAGGCAGGACAGGGCCTGGCCTGAGACTCTCCTACCTCTGTATTTCTCTGGAAGGTTCTAGCTCCCCACTCTTGCACTAAAAGGAGAAACTGTCAAGTTTCTCCTCTTTTCTCCATATCTGTGTTTCTTTGGGGGCTCAAATGTCACCTCAGGCACTCAGTTCCTCTTCTCTTTTTCTATCTTGCCTCCATCTGCTTGATAAGATCATCTCTGAGAAGTAGCTAATCATGGGTTGCTTAACTAGGGGAATACTTTCTGAGACATGTCGTCATGCAGTTTCATAGTTGCATGATCATAGAGTGTACAGTGGTACCAGATGGTAGGAATTTCTCAGCCCCATTATAATGTGTCCTATATATGATCCCTCAGTGACTGGACCATCATTGTGGGGTGCATGACTGTAATTGGATTTACTCTGTAAATCCCTCCAGGCATTTACCAAGGGTAAAGACTTTAGAGCAAAATTAAAGACATCAATTTCAGGCATTGAGAAATAAGTGGGGAGACATATTAGGAAGAAAACGTCCCTAAAATTTATGTCATAGAAGAACTCTCTATTTGGGTCTGAGTGCTTTTCTCGGCTTCAGTGTTCAAACAATACTTAAAACAACATAATATTGCCATTTTTTAAATTTTCCTTTATGAAGAACAGGACCATGAAGTTCAGAGAAAAGTCCATAGAACACCCAGCTACCCAGTGCTGGAGTAGAGATGGAATCTAGGCCTCCTGGCTCCCCACTCTGCCACCTTCCCTGTGTGAGTAGGTATCACACAGTCACCATGCAGACGCTCATACTGCTGCCAGTTGCAGGCTTGCTATGAAATCAGACTGGGTTTTGAGGTCCTCACCTGCCCACTCTCTCTGATGTCAGGAGCATTGATTCTTTTGTTGCAGATACAGATAAATCTGGTTGCAGGATATGACCTTGTGCAATGAACAGAAACCAGGCTACTGCTCATGCCAGCTGCTCAGATCCAAGGGCTTGAGAGATGCACTCACTTGGCCTCCTGCCTCCTCCTCCAGTAACTGACCTAGGTGCCTTGGGATATATATTCTACCTTTATCGACTACAAAACATGAGAAAGGCAAATAAATTGTTTCCAAACTGTGTCAGGGCCTTTCACAGTGTCTCTTATGTGTACATGGATGAGATGTGAGAGTTCTCTTAAGGGTAGAGGGGGAGATTTCAAACAGGTGGTTTGGGAATAAAGAGCCATGCCCACAGAGTGCAGCCAGATGGACTGGAGCAACGTCTGGTGGCATGCCCCAGGGAGCATTCCTCAGCCACATCCCATTGCCTTTTGTTTTCTGCACCATATGTGAACAAAGGGCAGCTTCATGGAGTAGATGAGAGCAGGTTTTTGAAATGGAATGGAATGACATTGGAATCTCAGCTTTGCCACTGGCCTTGTGACCTCAGGGAAGTTACTTAGCCTTACTGGTCATCCATTTCCTCTCTGACAGGGTTGTATATGTGGACTAAATGGAAAATGTATTCAGCTGATACACGGTAAGCTATCAGTAGATGTTATGAGGTATCAATAAATGTGTTTGTGAATGAGATGCTGTTGGGCGGAAGGGCAAGTGTGTGTCCTCTGCATCCCAAGGGTCCCCCAGAACCAAGTGATTCAGATTAATGGGGAAACCTAATACTCAATTCCAAAAATCAATTGTACAAATCAGGACCATCTGGTTCAGCAGCAGCCTGAGTTGTGAAACTGGATTTTGGTTGATGGTATCTCATGACCACCAACAACTACCAAAAGCACACAAACCAACAAAGACTTTCCAACTTGTCCCCAGGACCAGCAAGAGAGTCTTTTTCCTTACCCATCCACACTAGAACTCAGAAACATGGTCATGGGAGAATGGCTATGGGCCCAAGGAGGAATGGCTGGGCAAGTGGCCTGGACAGCCAGATGCAGCTCAGGTCTTGGTCACTGAAGATGAAGCTGTGTGACTCCATGTGGTTCCAGCAGAAAAAAGTATCCCTGCTGTGGTGAAGCTGAGGGAGAAAAGAGGATTCTGGCAGTCAGGACTATCCAAAGATGTCCTGAACAGGCCCTGGCATGGAACTGAGCTTTCTGGTTGCTGGAGATGGCGGGACGCTGCTGGGACTTTGGGCGGGATGGGGGAGGCAAGCTGCAGCTCAGCACCTGGGATTCAAGAACTCTGACTTCTAATCACTCACCAGGGAGAGACTGAAGCTTTTCCCTGACATTAATTATTCCCTCCTGCTTCAACCACCTTGTTAAGAAAGCCAATTAGATTGGAATAGGCCATGTGATAGAATTAATTTGCCTTGCCCTGGCTCCTCAAGACTCCTAGAAGGAAGTACAAATCCCCAGAGGCCAATGCCTGGCCGGCTTTTAATCAGACTGATCAAATTCAGCCTTAGGAGGTTTTAAAAGAAAGGAAAACACTCCCAAAACACATTCCTGATCTTATCCAGGAAGTTCAACAGATGCCAGGGTCTGCTGCTGATGTGGTCAGTACTCTTATCGAGATATGGGCACCTGTCTTATCTGCGCATGTGCCTTTTACCCTGAGCAACCCAGGTGGCTCACTGCCCCTTAGTTCTGCATTGCAGGGGACAGAGGCAAGGGTTTGGCAAAAGGGAAAATAGATTTGCACCTGAAAGCACAGTAAACATTATTCTGTGTCAGGCTAGTAAAGTGGCTGAAATGGTAGAGCACCTACCTAGCAAACCAAAGGCTGTAGGTTCAAACTTCAATACTGCAAGGAAAAGGAGGGGGAGGGAATCAAATTATTCTGGTCTGGAGGGATAGGCCAAGTCCATGTAAGGATCTGGGGCCTTCTCCTTACCCAAAGGATTAGCTGTCAGATAATCACACACATAGCTACCCAGGAAATGTGTCTACAACACACATGAGGTGGGAAGAAAAACTAGGGAAATTTCTAGAAGTAAGCACTTGATCTAGCCTTAGAGGGCAGAGATATGTTGGAACCAATTCATTCTGGATGTATTCTGTGGAAACAGCCCCTATGGTCTGAGATGGCAAGCACTGGGACTTCCCCAGCTCCATGCTCTGATGGGGTCCATATAAAATTTGCTGCCAGGCTTCCCCCACCCCCAGACCCCTTCACCTAAACAGTAGCTGAACATGAGTTGCCTTCCTTGGTCAGACCAGCTGTAAAAAAGGTCACCTTATCCCAAAAGTCAGGAGCTGCTGGATGTGAATGAAAGTGGAGGAGGGAGGGCTTCTGGGTTGAGGATCCATGATGCTGGCTTTCCTCATGCAGTGGGCATCTGTCCATCTCACTCCTGACTATGTAGGAGGTGGATGAGCTTGAAATCAATTTAGCACACTGCATATTTGATTTCCTAGGGCCCATTTGCCATGTGAGGAAACATCAACATCATCTGCACTGCAGCAGAGGATCGCCATGGAGACCAGAGGACTGGCTGGATCCAGGGGGAGCTCCTTCACTGGCCATGCACCTGCCAGGTAAAAGACAATCCTAGTCCTCACCTTGGGAAGGGGGAGACTGAGGCAGAAAGAAAGTGAATACAACTCAGGATATATATGTGCTAGGTCAGGTGGAGTTGAAGATTTGGAGCAGAACAGGGCAGAAGCAGAGCACCCCAAAATCTATCAGTGAGAAATTTCCTTCCTCTTGGATCAGGTGTTCTGAGCTTAGAAAAGTCTAAGAAAAACTGCCTTGGTGGGTTTTTGCTCTATTCAAGCTTTGTTTCATTAAAGCAATCTTTACTAAAAAGTAATATTGAGGTATTTGCTCAATTCTGGGAGAATTAAGGGGAAAAAAGCCAACTGGAGAAGGTGGTAAAACCAGTCAGCCCTGGGAGACCACCAGTGGTCACCTTGCAATTTTAGCACTGTCTGAAATAGCACTGGCAGGTTCTCACAAGTGCATATCTAGAGTCTAGAGCCTGCATCCTTGCAGAAACATTTGAAAGATTAGCACAGCTCTGAGCTCTGCCTACCCTGCTTTAATAGCTGCATCACCTTGAGGAAGTCATTTCACCTCTTCACTCACTGAGAAATGCAGGTCTAATAGTGTAATAGTGCTTGCCCCACAGGCAACCAGCACTAACCTCATGGGAGGTGCCAAGCAAATTTGGACTCATTATTTCCTTCCAACAAACATTTTTTTATTAGAGCCATAGTTTACATAGCCATGTGTCCTATAGTTTTTACTTAAGATTATTGCCAAAAAAATTATTTATCTAATCATCCCATTTGTCACTGTGGCGGATGCTGATCTACCATGATTTTTTAAGGAGCTCATTGTAACTGGTCATTTAAGTGATTGTCAGTGTTTTTCTTTTACTAACAAAGTGCTGCTTATTGCTCTCTGATTGCAAGGAAAAGAGAATACCTTCAAATCAGCTCAAATTAAAAAGTCTGGGGTTGGGTGGGGTTAGGGCAGTGTTCCTTGCTAACAATACAGATTCCTTTCTGGAAATAGAGCCAATGGATCACAGGGGAGAGGAACTGGTGAGACATCTCCTTCCTTTTCTCCTGTGCTTTTCTCTGCATTTCTCCCCCTTCTCTGGCTTGTTCTGCTCACAGATCAGCAGGCACAATGCTGAAAATGGCCTTCCCCATATGACCTTGTGTTGAAACACTGAAACCCCAACTTGGAGTAGCTCTGAGTGATTTGGAAGCTTGAGTGATTTGTTGTAGGTCAGTTGTCCAGTCCTGCTCCAGCTCCCTTGAGACTGCAGAGGAGAAAATGACTTTGATTCTACTCCTTCAGCAGAGGAAGTGTCCAGAGCTGAGAGGCTGGGCTAGGTGGGCATCTCAAAATATGTCTACAGCAATGGTCCTCAGCCTTCTATGTAGAATGCTTTGTTGCTTCAATATATTCCATTAGCCTAAGAACATAGGAGTGTGATTAGGGTCAATGTATGTGACAATTTGTGACTTAGTTTCAAGTTGCTTAGAACTAATTTTATTGGGGACACCGTGTTAGTACAGGACATTGGACATGCCAACTAGAGGAGGCCAGAAGCCAAGAAACAGGGTTGAGTCTCTTCCCATTTCCCTCTGGCATAGACAGACATAGGAAACAGGAGACAGGGCTGGGGCAGTCATCTTACAGGAATGCTCCAGCTAAGATAAGCTTGGGGACCCTCTCAGAGGCTGAGTCTGTGGCCAGTTCCCAACTGGTCCCAGGAGAGGGAACAGTTGCAAAGAAACTTCAAACAAGGTTGGAAGGAAATTTGGAGTTTGTGTAAGAAAAAAAAAATAGAATTAATCATGGGAAAAGAACCTATGTTATATGTGGATACTTACTCCTTTAAACCTTGCTCTAAATTTTATCCTCATTTGAAAATTGCATTGTTTTACTGTTCCTATGCTTAATAATCATAACAAGAACTCTGCATTGGTTAAAAGGAAGTTGGAAAGGCTTCTAATGCCCCATTCAGAGGATCATGCCTTTGTAGAGTTAAAAGAGCAAAGACAAAGAAAAGAAAGTGTCCCTTATCAACGAGGTTATACCCCAGACTCCAGAAGTAGAAGGAGAAGGAATAAAAGACACACACAGAGTGAGACACAAACCTGAGCTATGCCCTGCTGGTCATCTCTCCTTGTACTGGGCCCCTCAAGACTAGAGAGAGGGCTTTCCTAATCCATCCTCCTCCAGTTGCTGCCTGTCTTCCCACCTTCCAGGTTGTCACACCTCATCATCTCACTGCGCGCCTGGGCCACCAGGCACTCACATCATGAGGATCAGAGACCTGACTCTTTTCTGGAGCGTTTCCATGTAACTGAGCTTAAAGAGGTGTCCAGTCAAGAAAGCAATGCCCTGTCAAATGTGGGCTGCCAGGAGCCACCAGACATAGGAAGAAGGTAAGGAACCAAAAAGGACATAACACCACCTGTACCAGCTGGGCGGGGCGAGAAGTATCTGCTTTGATGAGTTCAACTTAGATGCCCCAAAGAAGCCCCAGAGCACCATCCCCATCAACCATTCCTTGAAGGAGATGTGAGTCCTTTGGGGAATGCTGTATGCTCTAATATTTTCCATCGAGAGTTCTTTGAACCCATGCACCCAGCCTCATTTGACCACTGACTCCATCCTATATGGAGATCCCCAAACTCATCACAGGGTGCTGGCCTTACCAATCTCTTTCCATCAAGGATCTTCATCCCAGACTGTACTGTGACCCTCTTGCTTAAAAGCAGGACCTATGTACTCAAGAAAGTACCTAAATTATGCATAGAGGTACATACATTTTTCTGGAAAGAATGGTCTGATTTTCAAGAGGAATCATCCATTTCACAACAGATTAAAACACCTGGGTGGGGGAAGGGGTGGATAGGTGGGAGAAGAGTAGGCGGATGGGAAGAGTGTTTGCTTTCTGGTAGGAGGATCTGCAGAGCAGGGGTCTCTGATTTCTTGCATGATCCATAGTACACTTGTACTGTTGGATTCGCACTTCCCTCCTACACACACATACAGAGAGAGAGAGAGAGAGAGAGAGAGAGAAAAGCATTCTGCCTCTCTTGTTCTTAAAGAGGACCCACAGCCTGTGTTGGAGGAGGGACCATAAGGCACACATACACACACATACAGAGAGAGAGAGAGAGAGAGAGAGAGAGAGAGAGAGAGAGAGAAAAGCATTCTGCCTCTCTTGTTCTTAAAGAGGACCCACAGCCTGTGTTGGAGGAGGGACCATAAGGCCACCCAGGTCAACTCAGTTGTCACTGAGCATCCAAGGATCTCTTTAGGACACTTGGGTCAGTCTTGGAAGAAAGGAGAGGTCAGACTTGGAGAGGAAGCTATCAGGCTCACAGCAGGTAGATTCTCACCCAGAAACTACTTCCTAGGAAATTAAAAAAAAAAGTTGAAAAGTTCTCTTTTGGCTGAATCTTCTAGGTAATGCTGAGATTTATAAGATGTGAGCATGATTGTTGAGAACAGATGGCCCCCATATGGTTTGCTAGAGAAAATGCCATCTGTTTTGTGTCAATGAGGAGAAGGGCTCCAGTTTGGGGGCTTCTCAAGTAGATATGTGAGGTTCCTGTGAAGAGTGATGGTGATAAAGCCTCAGGAGGAACCCAAGGGGTCTTTCTGGAACCTCCATTGTACTTCCATATTTATGTTTGTGTGTATGAGGTAATGTCTCTGTATTACAGATTCTGCAGTAGACTGTGAAATGTATAAGCATTCTTGAGATATAATATGAGTGTTCAGAGGTATTTCTTGCTACCTGACTGCTGCAGAAGACCTGGGCTCAGTCCTCTGCACTACGGAAAGGTGTCAGAATCTGACTAAGGCTCAAAGGACAGCTAGAAAGGCATTCTCAAGCATAAAGTTTCCCATCAGCTGCTACTACAAACCCTTGGGTTCCCTGGGCTGTCAGAAAGAAGCAGGAGGCAGTGGGTGCCAGCCAGGACATGTTCAGTGGGTTCCCAGATTCCCAGACCAGGACATCCCAGAACCCAAAGGAGCTCCATCAATATAAGGTTTATGTGCTTTTCATTGCTGAGACAGAAAGACAGGTAAAGAAGAGAAGATGGGAAAGAAAGAGGAAAAGAGGTTTCTTAGCAATCTAGCCAGACTTGTTCAACTTTGAGCAAATACTTCCCTAGCAAATTTGATTGAATTATCTTCCTATATCCTTAAAGTAATGCAGATGGATGTTGCACGCTTCGTGTCACTGGAAGGTTCAAAGTGGGCAAGTGAATGTGATTGTGCAGGATGGAAGCTGATCAGCCAGGGGAAGGGGACCTTCCTGGAGGAAGAGGGTTTGAATTTGGGGAAGCAAAGTCACAACTGCAAAGCAAAATGTCTGCAGAGACAGGTCTTAGTGCCTCTGTGTGGGTTTGGCCTTGTGGGATTAGGACCACTGTATCACATGGAGCTGAAAGTTCTCGCCACTATCTCATGATGGGGAATTCTCAGATAAATAGAGCCAACCAGAAATAAGCAGTTGTAGGCACTTCTTAGATGGAGAGGGACACTCAGGCAGAGCCAGGAAAAATAACCAAAATGGCATTTGGCTGGAAGAAACACCCTGAGAGTCAGACTGTAGCACCACCAGCCATGATTCTCAATCCCTGTGGTCTCTATAAGCAATCTGCAATGATCTTGGATAGGCAAATCACTCCCACCATCCAACTCTGTGAGGTCACCTGGCTTTCTTAAATGAGCTGAGCCAAAAAACTTGTCCTGGCTGCCAAGCACTTGGAGACAACACCTTCTCCTATAGAGCACCATGAAGTCCTGAGAAATTCCACTGTTAAAATCTAGTTTTGTGCAAAGCCAGCTCCCACCATCTACTAGATTCTTACACAGATCAGGGTGGTGGGCCCTCATGTTGGAAGATTACTATAGGGATGGGGAAACAGAGAGAAGACAGAGTAAAAACAGAGACAGCTTGGTACATGGCGGATTTTTCACCCTATTAATTGGACAAGAAGGATTGCTGTGATTGGGTTTTTAAGGAATGGGTCCTTTGAGAGCCAGTCTGTGCCAATGAGGGTATAACTGGTGACTTTTTCAGGATATATCCATCCTGGTGCATGCAGAAGGTTTGAGACCCCCCTCACCTAAGAGGCATGGAAGAACCCAAGGGCAGAGGCCCAGAAGGGTTCATTTCTGTTTGCCTGGCACACTGCCCTGCCCAGGGTTGAACAGAAGGAAATCAGGTGGAATTTGATGCCCAGAAGCCAGATGAATTCAAACCATTAATCCTCATTTATTTAGAAACCTCAGTTTAGCCAAGTGTTAACCTTCTCTTCCCCCAAGACAAACAATCACAAAAAAACTTTGTCCCTGATAATAACAACACTTTTTAAGCTGTGTGCAGAAAAGGCTTGAGAGAGGGGACATAAGGCCCTGAATAATCACCTGAAGGTGACTGTCCTGTCACTGAAACTGATTCCATTTACTCATTGCCTTCTCTCTGCCTCCCTGCAGCACCTGGCCTCTGGCCAGAAGCAATGCTAATGCTTGCAACAACTCCACAGAGAAGGAGTAAGTACCCAAGGCCCAGAAGAGTCTATTCACTTTCCCCAGTCCAGAGGTCACTCTCTTCCCTGTAGAAGCCCAGCTTAGCCTCCCTTCTTAAGTACTCCTGCCTCCTACCCTCCCCAAACACCAATAGACCATTCTAGAATTCCATTCCTTTCCTTGCAAATCCATCCCTTTGGACAGATGGGAGGAAGGGGCAAGGTCTGAACAATTCTTCAGGGAAGTCATTTTATCTCTCTGATTCTTGTTTTTGTCATCTATAAACAAAAGGGGTCTCATCGGATAAATGCCTTAAGCTTTACCATCCTGTATCACTACATATTGTGGGGTGCAAAAACTGGAGTTCCTTTGCTGAACAGTGGATAGTCTCCTTAGTGGTAAAAATGCATTTTCTATTCTTCAATCTCAAGACCCTGGGTGCCAGAGAAATGCCCTGTCTTAAGGACACTCAGACCAACGTCAAGGGCACCATCAGAGCAGTGGGAAGAGAAAATTTCAATATTTCCAGCAACCAGCCTCTTGAAAGGGTAACCTGCTATGATTACTCTCTGTCACAGATACTGAGCTGGCAGGTTAATGTGATGTGTGATTCTCATAAGTACCACCCAAGAGCACTTACGAATGCTTATGAATGTGTGCAAGACCGTTCGTGCTAATTAACATGTGTGCATGTGCACACAGCTCTCCAGCCTCTCCACTTCTTCTGGAATACCATGGGGGCAGAGGGAAGTTTTCACTGAGGGTTGAGGGAAAACCATCAACATCAGCAAGGAATGACAGTTTCTTGACTTTCAGTTAACAGAGGAATGTGCCAAGGATTTTTCTCACTTCCTTCTTTGTTCCTTGAGTAGAACTTTTTTCCTTTATGAAGGAAGCGTGTATTTTGTTTGCATAAAGCTAGACATCAAGTCCAGAGACTCAAATGCCACCAATCAAGAAAAGCAAAATGGTTTCATCTACAAAACATTAGCTACCATGACCTGAGACACGTGTCTGATTTAAAGCCAAACCTGACATAAAATGCCCTTGAACATCTGGTATTGAGTCTTTCAGACATGGAAGGGCTCAGGGTACTAGAAACCATGGACCGAGGTGTTGAGGGTCTCTAAATTGCTTTGTCCTGGAGCCGGGATGGGGGCAAGGATGGGGATGGATGTTGACTGCCCTTGGCTCCTAAATCTTTTCAGATGGGCTTATTTCGCGAGCCACAAATCAAAGCACAAAACTGGAAATTGTTTCCAAATAGGGACACCTGGACACAGAAGATATAGAAAATAATTCTCTTTGGGCACCTTCCTCAACTCTTCCATCACACTTCTGGCAGTTTTCCTTACTTTCTTTAAGTCCTAAATAACTTCTCCCTCACCAATCAAACTGTTCCCAAAACCAGCATCATTTTGCATTTCTGTGTAGGTTTTTAGGGAATTGCTGAATGAACACAGGGATGCAGCTGGATGATACTGGGTCTTTCCTAGGACCTCAGCAGTTTGGTAGACAGAGGAAAGGCCAAGGCCTGTAAACCAGAGCCTCAAAGTCTGGAGGATGCACGTGGAGTCTGGTGAAATTCAATGCTCTGCAGGGCTAAGAGCAACTGATAAACTTGTGGGCAGCACCATCTGCTGGTGACTTGATGATAGATTCAAGAGGATAGACAATGGGTGACTGTCTTTACTTTTCTAGTTCAATAATTTGAATAACTACTTTAAAGGTCTAACTCAGATTTTACTCATGATGCTCAAATTAGGCAGCTCTCAAAACCAGAACTAGTTCCAAGAACTCCAGCCTGTAACATGATCAGGCAACATTTAGAGGCACGAAACAGAAGTGAGGTACAGAGGTAGCTCAGCTGGTTTAGGCTGAGTATCTTTCTTTATTTAAGTCAGATGACTGTAGGCGAGCTACTGATTAAATCACAGTTGCTGTGATTGGCCGAGACTCAGCTATCTAATATGAGTACACCCCTAAATGAGACTTTGGGTTATTTGACATACAAAATTAGGTTATACTTCCACATTTAGGATTCCTGTGTAGAGTCATCCTCAGACCTAACTTTAATTTAACATCATTTTGTTTGTATGGTTATTGCCAAAACCTTGGAAGATAAGAAAAGCACCAGTAAGGATACATACACAAAATGTGCATGTTGTGTGAACAGTCAAATCCACTGTCAAAGATGACCCCCCTCACACATTCCTATCCCTCCAACCTTTCCCTAGGCATATGTATTAAATATGTAAGTGGACAGATATAATATATTTAATAAGTATATTTGTTAAGAGCATTTGTATTCCAGTTCCATAACCTAAGAGTTTTACTGAGTTTGTATCCGTTTCCTGGCTTATAATATGTGGATTTGGGTTTATTCCTATTACCTCAAAACAAGGATTGTCATGGTGGCTTACAGAGTTGTGTGAAGACTAAATGTGCCAATATATAGAAAGTGCTTAGATCGGTGCCTGATAAATAGTACATGTTCAATAAATATTGACAAGGATGGTAGCCAGAATAGACCTCCTGCCCAAAACTTTAAAAAGATGACTACGTCCTAGACCCCTGAACCTGTGAAGAGGTTGCAGTATACAACAAAGGGAACTTTACAAATGTGATTAAATTCAAGGATCTTGAGATGGGTAGATATCCTGGATTATCAGGCTGGGCCCACTGTAATCACATGGATTCATAAAACAAAAGATGGTGGTGGAAGAGACAGTGAGAGATGAGACAGAAGAAGGAGGTGAGAGTCACAGAGTAAGGGGAACTTGACCACCACTGCTGGCTTTGAAGACTGAGGTAGGGTACCATGATCCAAGGAATGTAATAGAATCTAAGAGCTACGGGTAATCCTCATATTATAGCCAGAAGGAAACTGAAGCCCTTGGCCCTACAATTGTAAGGAACCTAATTCTGCCAACAGTACAAATAAGCAGGAAACAGATTCTCCCTGCGATCCTCCAGAAAGGAACACAGCTCTGCTGGATTTTAGCCTGGTGAGGCCCATGCTGGACTTCGGACCAATAGGTGTGCAAGACAATAGATTTGTGTTTTAAGCCACTGATTTGTGATAACTTGTTCTGGCAGCAATATAAAACTAATTCAACTTTAGTATAAACTCTTTTGTAGTTTGCTTTTTAACTTAGAAATACTAGGACCAATCACTGATTTTTTTTCCACAGCATCATTTTAAGTGGCCTCATAAGCTCCATTGTTGACAATGGCACTCCTACTGTTGCATGATTAGATTGCTTCTGCTTTTTGATTATGGTGAATAATGGTGATTATTATTCTTAGGCATATTTGTCTGTATTCCTGATTATTTCCTTAGAAAGTACTAAGTGACTGTATACTAATCTTTTTCAATGAGTTTTTAATTCACAGATATTTATTTCTCAACTCAAGCCTTCCTCCAGAATCGGGGGGGGGAGGCAAAGTGACTTCAATGAGTTCTCCCCTTCATCAGAGTTGTCTTTTACCTTTCACCTTGATTTTCTCAAATGTTCAATGGGGCAAGAATGTCTTGTAGAATTCCATAACTATTAGTTAGATAACCTTTATAACAATACCTGGCTCTCAAAAGACATCCAATAAAGAAGAGGAAGCAGAGTAAAGCTATGTGCTGAGAAGATCTCTGCACCCAGAGGACCCCCCTGCAGACTGAGATGGAGTAGCTATGAGCCCAGATATCTGAATATGCATCTAAACTTGACCTCATTTATGGGCCTCAGACAACTCTTGAGATTTGCCACTGATTATGGTCCTTAAGATGGGGTTACATCCCAATAAACCCATTTTAAGTGGAAAATTTCATAAATCAAAGCTGCATTTAATGTACCTAACCTACCAAACATCATAGCTTAGCCCAGCCTTCATTACAGATGCTCAGAACATTTACATCATTCTAGATATGGGCAAAATCCTCTAACACCAAATCTATGTTGTATATGGTAACTACATGATCCTATAGCTGACTGGGATCTGTGCTCACTGCCACTACCCACCATAGGGAGAGGATGAGACCACATTATGGCTAGACTGGGAAAGGGTCAAAAATTCAATTCAAGGTAAGATTTCTAATGAATGCATATCACTTTCACACCATTGTAAAGTCAAAAAAATAGTAAGTCCAGCCTTCTAAGTCAGGAACTATCTACACACCTGCCACAAATCTGCTCCAGGCTATGCAAATTTTGCATCCCTTCTGCTCACTGGCTTACTCATCAAGACCCAGGTTTTCATTTTTTGTTTGCTCGGCTTTTTCTTTTACTTTTTTTTCTTCCAAGTTTTCATTTGATGCAGAGACAGGTTTTGAGAACAACCTACAGGCCCCACCCTTTCCTTCAGAATAAAACCTTGATAAGCAACTTCCGAAACTCCCCCTTTTCCACCCTCACTGTGTGGATTTGGTTTATTACTCATTACCTCAAAATGTCTCTGGTCTCAAACTGTTTATTATTTCCCAGGAGCTCATGAAAATAGATCAGAAATTGCAGAATGTTAGACTGAACCACTAATTTCTCAATATACACTTCAGTGGGGACATTTATCTCACACTTAAGGAATAATAGATAATAATAATGACATCAGTAACTTCATTTCAGCAGAAAGGCAGTAAACAAGGCAAAGAGGGTGCCCAAGAGTACATCGCAAGGCTCCTGAGTTCAGTCAAGAGGAGATGCCTCAGAAACATCTGGGCAATGTTTCCATGCACACATCCAGGCCCCAGCTTTGGAGGAGCCTTGAGTGGGCCCAGGAATTAGCATTTCCACAAAGCTTCTCCAGATGGTTCCAGTGCTCCCCTCACCAGCCCTCAGTGACATTGCTATGCTGTGTCTTTCCTAGCATCCTGAAGGACAAAGATACTGACAAAGGATGCATGAAATTGTTACTGCCATAATTTTATAGTCAACAGTGGGAGCTGAGCAGGATAGGAAAGACCTCCTAGTCCATCCTAGCTCCCAGCCTGTCTCTCATTCAGGGGTGCTCTGTGTGACCCTCTGAGACTGAGATGACCTTGTCATGAACAGCCACTGATGGAGCTCCAGCCTGAGATTGCCCTCAGGTCTCTAAGCTAATACAGTTCTCTAAATCCCTCCAAAGTTGTAGCCTTTCAACTGCACAGTGAGTATGGGTTTGTGTTTCCAGAAAGAAGAAGGGAGCCATTGTAGTGGACCCTTCTAGCGACACCTACTACCACTGGCTGACTGTCATCGCCCTGCCGGTCTTCTATAACTGGTGTCTGCTTGTGTGCAGGTAGGTGAAGAAGCGGGAACTTCACCTGAAGAAGACCAGGCTGGAGGGGCAGAAGTTGTGAGGGCAGCCAGGTCTAGAAGACAGAACTCTGAGTCTCACCCAGGAGACCAGAGTTCTGGTTCCCTCACAGCCACCATATAGCTCTTGTGCCTCAATTTCTCCATCCATAAAATCAAGCAGGTGTCAAAGAGGACTCTCAGAACACTTTGAATCACTGGTGGGGAGCTAAAGTTGAGATGGATGGCAAGGAACTTCAAAGCCTCCATAAGCGCATTGTAAGAAGCAGGGGTGAGCTTTCTCTCTTCTGAGGGGAAGAGGGAAAGACTGGGATATTTTTGAGCAGGCTACAGAGTCAGGGTACAGCAGGGAGCACTGTTCTCTGAAGGAATGCTGCAGGCTTTAGGGGTTCTAAGCAGGTCGTCGTGCTGGGATACATGGTACGCCCTCTACTCTTTTGAGGGGAGATATGGTTTGGTGGGGTGTTCCTGGATGGCAATGTATTTCTGGGATTTTGAGGAAGTTGTTGCGCTTCTGAAGATCAACAGAAGCTTTGGAAGTTTCCTGAGAGAGCTGCAGGTTTCTGAGCACAAGGGATATTGGAGCTTTTCCTAGGAAATCAGCTGTTTGTGAATGCAGGGGCAGTTGGAGGCTTGGGCTTTTCTGAGCAACCTACAGTGTGGTGACAATACAAAGAGCAATGTTTTCTGAAGGTTCTGAGTGTGCTGCCAGACAAGGATATAGGTAAGAGGCCCCTTTTCTGTGGGCAAGCAGGAGCCAGAGGCATTTCTCAGAAAGTCTGCAGGTGCAAGCTGCTGAGTGGGACTGAGGGCTGCACCGTGCTCTTTCAAGTTAAGCAAGGGATTTGGGCACCTTCCTAGCAGGTCTGCGGGACAAGGGTGCTGGGTACACTGCTCCTATGAGAGTAGGCAGAGGACTTAGGGTTGTTCCCAAGCAAGCCTGCAGAACTGGCATGCAGACAAGTCTGCATTTCTGAGAGGAAGCAGGGGTATTGGGAGCCTCTCCTATGCACGCTGTGAGACCAACCAACCTGGACGACTATATCTCAAGGGCTGGCCAGCATGCAAGACCAGGATGCAGGGGTAAGGTCTTCTCTTCTGAGGTTTGTAAATGGGGGACTTCAGAGCATTCCTGAGTAAGCCTGCAAGACATAAAGTCACGGCTTTTGGAGGCTGTGCACTGAGTTTTAAGGCATTCCTGATCATGGCACAACACAGGGGTGCAGAAGAGAGCTGATGCTGTCCATGTGTAAGTGGAGGTTTTGGGGATTATGCAGTCCAGGGCAACCTCCTGCTGGTCCAAGAGTTTGCAAGGCAGGTGAAAAGGAGAGCAAGCATGGGGCCTTTACTAGCAAGTGGGCAGGATGGAGATGCTGCTGCTTGAGTGTAGGCTTGGTCCTGTTGACACAAGAGTGAGCTGCTGTTCCTCTGGGGTGGAGGAAGGCGGCAAGGCTTGGGGTGCTAAGCAAGCCACAGGATGGGCTACAGAAGTGGGCTGCTGCTCTGTTGAGGCTAGGAAGAAAGTTTGAGTGCTGTCTGTGTGAGAAATAGTGAGGATAAAGAGGTCAAAGGTAGAAGGTATTTTCTGACTTATTCAATTGTTAATCTCTCAGAAGTTCTTTTATTTTTGTTGGAGTTTTGCTCCAGAAAGGGCAGGTCTTGGTGCCTTTGCCTGACTCCACTGGGGAGGCCTAGAACAGCTGCATCTTGGTACAGCCCTTCTTCTGAGGAGCCTTGCAACCATGGGACAGAATAGCTTCTCTGAGCCTGGGTTCCCCTGCAGAAGTCTGAGCATGATTCCAAGATTCCCGCTGCAGGCGGGACTGCTGCTGGATGAAATGAGCCATCTTGTAGCTTAGAACTGGATGCAGCCCATGAGCCATCCTCTCATGCTTCATTCTTGGTTTGTTTAGGGCCTGTTTTGATGAGCTTCAATCTGAGCACCTGGTGCTGTGGCTAGTGCTGGACTACTCAGCAGATGCCCTCTATGGCTTGGATATGCTGGTGCGAGCCCGGACAGGTGAGTGTGTCCCAGGCCCAGGAAGGGACTCTCAGTGGAGGGACCATGTGGACCACAGGGAGTGCTCAAGGAGATCCAGAATTGGATATTACCTACCTTTGACCAAGAAGCCAGGCAGGTCTAAGGACGCTCCAAGCACAAAGTTGTCTGAAGCCCCCTACACTGAACCACTGGACAGGACCCTGAGCAGGAATTAGGATGCTTGGGCTCTAGGCTGTGTTGTCCTTGATGAAGTGTGATCTTGATGAAATCAGGCTGTCTCTCTGGGCCTCGTTTGTGTCACTTGTGAAAGAAAAAGGTCAAACAGGAATCTCAAACATCCAGCTGTGATACCCAGCTTGGGAGGGAGTGGGAGACAGAGTTCCATCAACCTTGGAGCTCCTCTTCTCAGAAAGCAGGACTATCTGGGACCTGTTACTCCATAGCTTTCAGAGGAGTTTTAATATGTAGAGAACTAAAATTTGAAACAGGGCCTAAAAAGATAATGATTTCCTTCAGGTATTGTCTGGTCAATACCTGAGTCGTGAGCTGTGCCTCCTTTGGGGCATCTTTTTCTAATGAGCACAAAGATATCACCTAAACTGGAAGAGGCCTTCTTTTCTCTTCAAGATGTGTTTTAACTAAAACCTTCCCTAGTTGTTAATGTAAGCACCATCAGGTCACAACAACAAACCTGAGTGTGGCTTCAGGGTGTAAAACCATTGCGACCACATCTTGCTTTCTCACCAGAAGTGCTGCATGAGACAAGATGATGTGAGCATGACTGTCTCTACCTTACTGATTTAGAAACCAAGGCCAGAGATGCTGTGTGAGTTGCTCAAAGTCTACAGTCCCTATCCAGCCATGCCAGACTGGCCCCTTGCTTCTACATTGGTACCCAGCATTATAACTTAGAAGACCCAACACATAGCTCAAGACTTGCATGGGTGACCTACTCTGGCCCTGGCAGCCTGCCAGTGTGCTGCAGTCACGTTAGCTTACATAGACACAAGAGCTCTATGAGTGACTCATTGGGCCCACTGTCTCTCATCTCGGCCAAATTTCAGTGAGACAAGATGTCCTCACTCAGACACTGACTTCACCCCTTCTTATGCTTGGGTACTATTCTTGGCAACAACAGATTCAGCAGTAAGCTGGGGAGAGGGAGACATAGAAACCCTCCACCTTCTATGAATCATAGTCCAAGGGAAAAATAATCATAATTGAGAGATCTTAAAGAAATAGTGAGGTATACCAAGACAACAAGTACTAGACTCCGTAAACACATGTAAAGGTGGCCCTCGATATCAAGGGAGTCTACATCAGAGGACTGAATCAACTGTGAATCAAAAATACTCAGAAAAAACTTTTCTTCTTGTCATTGTTCCTCATATTCTATACAATGTAACAATTATTTGCATAGCATTTACATTGTATTAGATATTATAAGAAATATAGAGATGACTTAAAGTACATGAAAAGATATGTGCATGTTGCATGTAAATATGACATCATTTAAGCACCTGAGGATTGGGTATCCACAGGTGGGAATGGGATAAGGAAGTCCTGGAACCAGTCTGTCCCTCTCCCCAAGATACTGAAGAACAATTGTAAACAAGAGTACAAGAGTGATAGGAGGAATCCAGGCTGGAACTTATGTATGGTCTATATGAAAACAAACTTGATTTTCAGTTTTAGCAGAGGGGCAGTCCTACCTTCAGTCTACCCTCAACGTGTGGCCCTGCACCAGCAACAGCAGCACCTGGAACTTATTAGATAAGTCCCTGACCTCTGAGTCAAGTTCTAGGGACAGCAGGCCCAGCACTATTACACTGAGCTTATCAAAACTTAAAAAGCATCCATGACATTTTCCTCTCTCCTTTTGTGCACATTTAAAAACGTTTTTTAAAAAACACAAAAGAATGCAGGTCATGGCCTCCTTGGTTGATGACAGTCATGCTCCATAACTCCCAACATCCAGCTTGTCTCCAGGCTAGTCTGCTTCTTTGGGAGTGACTCAAGTGACTTTGAGCCCCCTGGATGTGTGTAATGTGCAACCAGGAAGAACTGTATTCCTGGATAGTGTTTTTAAAAGGTGGGTCATGCTGCATTTCGTGACTGGCAAAATCTCTGACCCCTGTTTTTAAACATTTATTTTTAATATTTTCAAGCATAGACAAAAATCAAAGAGAATGGTATTATGAACCCCCACGTACCCTCACCCAGCTTCAACAGTTATCAACTTTTTGCCAAGTTTGTTTCATCTGCCTGCCCCGATCCCCTTTTAACTTGCCTCAATGTTTTCCAGTAAGTATCATGCAGTGAGCACTTTAACATGTATCTCTAACTTTAAAAGGCCCCTCTTAGGTTAAATAATCTGACTAAAGTACAGTATATTCGCAGCTGAAATACCATCATGAAAGTCCTTTGAACAATGAATATGGACAGGATTGTAAAACAGGTCCTGTGAATGGGTAGGTACTTATGGGAAGTGGGAGGGTGAATGGAGGAGATACAGGAGGGTGAATATGGTGGATGTATTTCATATACTTATATGAACTAGAACAATGACACCTGTTACAATCGTTTTAAGCAGGGGGAAGAGGGATGAGGGAGAATGATGGTGGGGATGAACCTAACCAAGTTACATTGTGACATACAGAAATGTCACAAATATGTGCTAATAAAAATGTTCTTTTAAGACCTCTTTTAAAAATATATAATGATCAATTATAACTATATCAAATGTAAATACATTAAAAGATCAATTTCCACCTATCTTTTTAAATTTTATCCTTGCTATCACCTAAAACCCAATCTATTTTCAGAGTTACCTAATTGATCTATATTTCTAAAAAATTAAATAGAATGTATTAGAACACCATAGAATATAAAATATCAGAGTTAGTTTCCAGTATTAATGGTGATTTTTTGAAGTTTTGTATCATTGTATATTGTGTAGTATGATGTAAAATGTTTTTTTGTGGCCATGGTTAAAAAAAACCCTCTCTGATCTCCTTCTTCTTTAGGTTTTCTTGAGCAAGGCTTAATGGTCAAGGATGCTACAAGGCTGTGGAAACACTACACAAAGACCTTGTACTTCAAGCTAGACATGTTATCTCTGGTCCCCACGGACCTAGCTTACTTGAAGTTGGGCATCAACTACCCAGAACTGAGGTTCAACCGCCTACTGAAGTTTTCCCGGCTCTTTGAATTCTTTGACCGCACAGAGACAAGAACCAACTACCCCAATGTGTTTAGGATTGGGAACTTGGTCTTGTACATCCTTATCATTATCCACTGGAATGCCTGCATCTACTTTGCCATTTCCAAGTTTATTGGTTTTGGGACAGACTCCTGGGTCTACCCAAACATCTCCAAGCCAGAGTATGGGCGCCTCTCCAGGAAGTACATTTATAGTCTCTACTGGTCCACCTTGACCCTGACCACCATTGGCGAGACCCCACCCCCTGTGAAAGATGAGGAGTATCTCTTTGTGGTCATAGACTTCTTGGTGGGCATTCTGATTTTTGCCACCATTGTAGGCAACGTGGGTTCCATGATTTCAAACATGAATGCTTCCAGGACAGAGTTCCAGGCCAAGATTGACTCCATCAAGCAATACATGCAGTTCCGAAAGGTGACCAAGGACTTGGAGACACGGGTTATCCGGTGGTTTGACTATCTATGGGCCAACAGGAAGACAGTGGATGAAAAAGAGGTTCTCAAGAGCCTCCCAGATAAGCTGAAGGCTGAGATCGCCATCAATGTACACCTGGACACTCTGAAGAAGGTCCGCATCTTCCAGGACTGTGAGGCAGGCCTGCTGGTGGAGCTGGTACTGAAGCTGAGGCCCACTGTGTTCAGCCCTGGAGATTATATCTGCAAAAAGGGGGACATTGGGAGGGAGATGTACATCATCAAGGAGGGCAAGCTAGCTGTGGTGGCCGATGATGGGGTCACCGAGTTTGTGGTCCTCAGTGATGGCAGTTACTTTGGGGAGATCAGCATCTTAAACATCAAGGGAAGCAAGACAGGGAACCGCAGGACAGCCAACATTAGGAGTATCGGCTACTCGGACCTGTTCTGCCTCTCCAAGGATGACCTGATGGAGGCCCTCACCGAATATCCTGATGCCAAGAAGGCCCTGGAGGAGAAGGGACGGCAGATCCTGATGAAGGACAACCTGATCGACGACGACCTGGCCAAGGCTGGGGTGGACCCCAAGGACATTGAGGAGAAGGTGGAGCACCTGGAGTCCTCCCTGGACATTCTGCAGACCAGGTTTGCTCGGCTCTTGTCCGAGTACAACGCCACACAGATGAAAATGAAACAGCGCCTCAGCCAGCTTGAGAGCCAGGTGAAGGTGGGTGGGAGTGACCTCCCTTCTGACAGAGAGATTCCTGAGGATTCTGCAAAGGCAGAGGACAAATGACAGTGAAAATGGGGGTGGCAGTTTCCTGCTTTACAGGGCCAGCTATCAGTGTGATACTGTGTCTGCAGCTGCTGTGTGACTGAGGGAGAGAGCTTCGGTTTCCTCATCTAGGAAATAGGGCTTGTGATATTGGCCCCAGAGAAATGCCAGGTTGTTATGAGGTCCACATGACAGATGGGCAGGGCTTGGGAAAGTGTGGAGAACTGATTTTTTTCTCTTGCCAACTATACAAACATGGCAGGAACTAAAATTTGAAGTGGGGTCTAGGAGGATCCAGGTGTCTAAAGTATGCACACAGGACTCCAATTATTATGAGTAGTTTTTGATATGGGATCCTACGACAACTGCCCACAACTCCTGGTTTCAAGGGATTCTCTTGCCTCAGCCTCCTGAGTAGCTGGGACCACAGGCACATGCCAACAAAACCTGCCCAATTTTTTTTTAATCCATGAGGAGATGCTTAAGCTTTTAAACCATACTTTCTTATAAATGGAAGATTATTTATCCCCTCCCCAACCTCACTCCATCACTGTCTAATTGTGAAATTACATCAGGAAGCTGAAAGTACAAGGTAGTAACTCAAACTCGGCCTTACTCAGGACAGTTTGGGGCATGTTTCTTTTTCTTTTTTTTGCAGTGCTGGGTTTGAACTCAGGGCCTTCACCTTGAGCCACTCTGTCAGCCCTTTTTGTGATGGGTATTTTCAAGATAGGGTATCCTGAACTATTTGGGGTGGCTTTGAACTGCAATCCTCCCTGATCTCTGTCTCCTGAGTAGCTAGGATTACATACATTAGCCACTGGGGCCTGGCTGGGGCATGTTTCCAAGCCGAGCATCTTTTGTTTTCTTGCAGGAACCTTGGACATCCCACTTTGGCAGTGCCATGGCAGAGAGAAGTTCTGTGGGATAAAGAGAGGCCACCCAATGGGAGGTCCTTTCAAGTCAGAGAAATAAATCTTATATCCCTGTTACCCAGCCACTGGGACACCAGTGTCTGCTTCATTGTACAGAACATCTCATCTCCTCCTTCTCACTTGCTAAGGGATTCAAACACAGCCTCCATCCTTATCCTAGAAGTCTGACCTTTGAGGAGGGGCTGCTGCTGGCCATTAATGATAATTCAGGAACCTGAGGGAGTTTGGCAAACATAGGGATTTGCACAGTATCTGAAGAGGGGCATTGCATTCTGAGACTGGTCCTGGGAATCCCAAATGGAGGCTGGCACCAACTGCCACTACCAGGGTACCCTGCTGCTGCTAGGGCCACATAACCACCTGTGACAACCTATTCTAGCTCAAAGAGGAGAGCTATGTTCAATGAAAGCCTGTTAGGTTGGAGGCTGGAACAATGGTCTAAGTCGAAAACTCTGACAACTTGAACTTGGGCCATATCTTTGTAAACTGCCCTTTCATCCCTGAAGAACTTCAAGCCCCCTTGGAATTATATCCCAAGGCAAAGCTCTTAGCCAGCTAAAAGCTTGCAGGTTGCAGAAACTACCATTTTTTTAAATCTAGTAAATAGAATTCCATTAACATGTTATAACAGAATTATATTTTGGGTTCTATAATTATGAATTATGACCTCAATGTTCCAACCTTCATTTAAGTACATGTTGCAAATTACATAAATTAGCCTTTCTCTTTTTTCTCCCTCCCCCTCATTTTTCCTTCCTTCCTTTTCCTTTCTTTTTTTCTTCCTTCCTTCCTTCCTTCCTTTTTTCCTCTTTCTTTTCTGTCTCCCTCTCTTGCTCTTTTCTTTCCCTCTGCCTCCCCCTTCCTTCTTCTCATCAGGCAAAATCCCCCACTTTGCTTTGACAACTTTGAAACATCTGTGGTCTGATGTTATAATCCATATGCTACATAATGGAGCCCCTATGTAGCCCATAAAAAAGGTGCTACATTTTCAGTTATGTATTTTGGATTTCTGTGGGTCACTAACCACTTTAACTTTTAAAAATGGATGAATAAGTCTATTAAAGGTCATAGATCTAAGATCATATCATCAATAAAATATTAACTAGTGTGGTTTTCTCAAAATGCATATATTTTAAAAGCCTTATCATTAATTATGCATGCATTTATATCTGCACAGGGAAAATAAAAAACTTTATAAAAAACTGTTAATGACTCCTGTCTCAGCTCTTATCAAAGGGAAAATTTAGCCCCAGGGCATGTTTCTAGGCCAATGACTTTCCTAGAAAGAACAGGTGCTGATGAGCTAAAGGTGGCATATACCCAATGGGAGGGCATAAGCACAGCCAGAAGGGGGTAACACCATGCCCTAAGTGTGCCCAGACAAGTAAAAGACCAGTACTGAAGCACTGTTTTTAATAGCCAAAAAAATAATCTAAATGTCAGAATCTAAGAACAAAATCAAAATAAAACATATTAAGTATTCCTTGAAAGAGAATTTGGAGAAGAAAATGGGCTGTGAAGGTGTTGGTGGGCTAAAAGAGCAGAAAAGGCAGCTGAATTGATTCACAGGTAACTGCAGGAAGCCACTGTCTGCTCCCAGGACTGGGAACAAAGGGAAAGCTGTGCATAGAAAAGCAGCTAAAACTGGGACCTTTGAAGACCCAGTGCTGCTATTGGTCATTACTAAGAACTCAGTGAAGTTTGTAAACACAGGAATTGGCCAATACCTGAGGAGGAGCATTGCATGGTGAGACTGGTCCTGAAGTCCCAAATGAAGCTAGAACCAGCAGCCACTACCAGATTAGCCTGATGTTGTTGCTGCTGCTGGACTTTGAACTGAAGAAGAAATCCCTTCTCCCCTCTCTTTGGCTTCTAGCCTTCCTCAGTTTCCTCCTAGTAGAGAGTTCTAGAAAAGTGAGGACAGTCAAAAGGACAATTATTTTCCACAAACTTAAAGTTTCATTTTTGGTGTACTTGAAACAGGTGGTAAAGACCAAATAAATGTGTCGGAAATAAGTGACCCCCTCTCTGGTGTTTGATGCCTGACAGTGCACCATGAAAGCTTCTTTCCTATTTGCTTTTGAGAAAGGAGAATGCCCTGAGAAAAGATGGGAAAGGGGAAGGGAAATGATCATTTATTAAGCACCTCCTGTGTGCTAGGTTCTGCTCTTCATACAAAAGTATGTTTTCTTAATTGTCACATCTATGGAAAGAACCTTCTAACTTTCCTTTGGCATTCATTCTTTAATGTTATTATTAACATTATGGATTAATTAATTTTTAAATGTATAGCTACTCTGTGCAGAGCAACAAATTATTGCTTTTCTAAAAAAAATTTATTAAAATGACTAAATCTAAGAAACTGAAAATACCAAGTTCTTTCAAACATGTGAAGTATTCTTATTTGTTGCTGGTGGGTATGCAAAATGTATGGCCACTTTGGACAATTTGGTAGTTATGAAGTTAAACACATAATCTTAGCATATAACCTGGCAATCAGGACATTTATTTCCCCAAAAGAATTAAAAGCATATTCATAGAAAACAATACAAATATATTTATTTATAATAATACTTATTTATGATCACCAAAACCAGGAAGCAAACATGATGCCATTTAACAAGCAAATGACAGAAAAACAGTATAATTGAATACTATTCAGCCATGAAAATGAATGAGCTATTGAATCATGCAAAACGATTCTGTTGACATGACATTCCAGAAAAGGGGAAGCTATAGGATGGACTCAGTGACTGTCAGAGGCTGGGAGAGGGTGAGTGGTTGAGTATGAAGGGGACACTCAGGGGAGTCCTTAGTGTGCTGTGGTTCTTTGGTATGGCACTGGAGTGGTGGATTCATGAGTTTATGCATTTGTCCATACTTATAGAACTGTGTATCATAAATAGTAAACATTAATGAATTCTAGTTTTTAAATATCAACCAGAATATAGAGAAGTACTGGATGAAAAGAAGATTGTGACAAATAACTCTATCTGTATTACAAATATATGATATAACCTTATTGAAGGATGTAGGGCAAATGATACCTAAGTAACATTTTACATTGGTTCTATGATTGGAAAGTAAGGCAAAAGATGAAAAGAAGTGATGTGAAATCATATTCTAATTGTAAATTTGTTTAACACTGGAGTAGGGTTAATAATTCTGAAAGTGCATTATACTATGTACAAGTGTATGGATATTTGGATGGATGGATAAATAAATGATAAAAATGGAAGCCATACTTATTATAGTCAATAGCAAGAAGTTACAAATAAGTAAAAGGACAAGGCCAGAATGAACCTTGGGGTCTTGGACTGGAGTCAGAAATGTCAATATGAACTCCTGTTAATTTATATATACAGATGGGAAGATACAGAAATAATTGTAAGAATGTGTTAGTATATAGGTTGGTATACATAGAAATATTCCTAGATCTGACACTGACTGCAAACAGCTCACCAAGCACCCAAGTCTTGATTTCTAAATACCTTTCTCCAGAAAAAGGAACCAGGAATGATTCTAGGGCTGAGACAGAGAAAATATACCATAAGCTTGGAGCATCCTGTAGTGCCAGAAAATGCTAAACACACACACACACACACACACACACACACACACACAGTGTCATGTCAAAGGGACATAGCAACCACCCTGACAGAGTTCCCAGTGGCCAAAACAGAAACCATGTTTACATCAAAATAAAAAAAATTGTATTAGATTATAACCCAAAGCATAACATAAAGGTCAGTGAGTCCATGCTGCTAAAAACAAATGACTGGATAAATAAATTCATAAGAAAATAGGACATTTGGGGATTCCAAGATGGCGGCTAGAGGGAGGAAGCAGAAAGCATGCCTCCTAAAGTAAAATCTTAGAGAAACGCTGGAGATACACCTTACAGGAAAAACCACCGAGAAGAGGCAAAATTTTGACTCCTCCTCACCTCCAGCCTGCGCAGAGCATCTCCACTTCATCTTAAACAGAGAAACCAGGAGGGCTCCCATGCCACAGCCAGATGGCAGCACCCAGACGGCTTGGGAAGACGCGGACCACAAGGTGAGCTAAGTGATACGCGGTACTCCC